GCCTGTCAATTTCACAGTTTTGAATCAAGTTTGCAATTCAAATTCAATCAAATTAATTCCTAATTAAAGTCAAATGAGATCAATTAGCTTTAATTTAACAAGATTTTACCAAAATAGGAATGACCGTTTTGTTAGTAAGTCTTTAGTTGAATTTCTGACAAAAATAGGAAAAACTTTAAAATGAGTTTGAACTCTACAACGGCACATGTATGGCTGAACATAACTACAAAAATTGTGAAGTGTTATAATTGGAGCTTAATTATTTGCAGAATAATTGGTGAGGAGAAATAAAATAAGATCAATGAATTTCTGCGTTGGAAAGCACTGTAATAGTGGAGAAACTTGCATGATATGTGAGCACTTACTGGTTGATCTGGCCAAAGGGGAGGGAGGTCATAGCAGATCCCAAGGACCTCAACGTTTGTGGACTGGGCTTCTGGACTAGGCACGGATTCAGTGTCTGACTGAGTGTCCCAACTGGGCTGAGGTGAATCCCTCAGAATCTTCTATGACGATTTATGTTTGAGATTAGTATGTTGTATCAGATGCAGTGTAAACCAAATGCGTTTAAGATCTAGCAGGTTGACTAGAGTTACCATAAAAAACATGAGTAATCTTTGGCATAGGTTGACTGACCCAACAAACCAGCCATTGTACTGGTGTAGTATTCATTTTTACAGGTTATTTCCTGATAATTGGGACTCTTTCCCACCTCAATGGCAAAAAGTGTCGCAATTTACCTGAATGTACATACCCTACACACCTCAGTTTGTGGTGCAGATGCAAATGTTGATTTCCGGGGTCTTCCTCTCTTTCTCAAAGACGCACTGGATTTGTCTTGCAAAAGATGCCCACCACACACCCTTAATAAACAAATTAGAAAACAATAAAAGTTGCAATAAGCAAATAAGGCTAAACTTTTTTTTTTTTTTTACTGAGGGGGGAAAACTACACTATGTAATTACCAATCGCCACAATTATAAAAATATTTAAATGCCATAATTAAAATGAAGATTATTGAAGTACGTCTGGCAAGGAAATACCATTTCAGTTTATCTACTTAATTTCACGCATAATTCAGTGTTTTGTTGTAAAAAAATTCTAGCAGCGTCTTAACGAATGTTTCTATACATTTTTTCCAGTTGATGACTGAAACTCTAAATTGCCACTTGCTAGCAACTTTAGTTGGCGCGTTACTGCTTGCTTGGTGCCAGACTGTGTTTACGGACGTGACGTAACCGCGCGATTTCCTACTAAAAATTTTTTTTGTATTTATGCAAATGAAGGGGGGGGGGGGGGATGATCCCGTAACCACAATCAAATTGTTACTATTAATGTATTTGCGTGTCACTCTAACTCCTTAAAAAAAAAAAAAACGGCGAATAAAAAAAAAAGAGGCCGCGGGTGAAGCTCGCTTTATGGGAAGTAACGTTATGCGCGTCGTCATGGCAACGGTTCGTGGCCAGGTCAGATTACGTCAGAGTTTGTTGTCGTTTGTTGGAAAATCATATCAGACCGTTCAGACACTCCACGACCCAACAAACACCGATTAAACCTGTTCAGTCAGGTGAAAACAAACGCCGATAAAGGTAACGCACTGATCCAACAAACTCTAACAGACTTGTTTGTTCGTGCGGTGTGAATTGGCCTTTATACTGACAGCTTTTGTCGTGGATGCAGCATTAAGGTCAATTATAGCGATCAATAAAAAGGAATCAAATGAAACGACGCGTTTACACGCTCAATGCTTATAAGTTGTGGAAACCAATGTGTCTTTATCATAGCTGAAGCGAACGACAATAAGATTGCAAATGAACAAACATGCGAAGATGACACCCAAGCAAAAGCTAACACGGTTAAGTTGTGAGAAACAAAGCAAAATCAACGTTACTCGCCTATCAAGAAGAAACAAGGCAACCTCGGCGTCCGATTCCAGGCCTAACCGCTCCTTGAGCTCTCTCCACCGCTGGAAAGCCGCTCCGATATTTACGCGGGTCTTACCTCTTGCTTGGTCGTAACCCTTCTTTTTAACGCTTTGTTCCTCCGATATTTTCCTATTTTTCTTTTTTTTATCTGCCATCTCTATCTGTAGTCGATCTGCTAATATCCGTTAGTGATGGGCGCTTTCGAAGCACTGCTTCTTCTTCTTGGTTTTTAACGGCGGCTGGCAACCAACGTAAATGGGTGCATTACCGCCACCTTCTGCTCCGGAGTGGTGGAAAAAGAGAAGCACTGCTCCATGACGCTTCGAAACTTGTGTGAATCAAACAGTGGTTCAGAGCGCGTGTCAATCGGCCGAAGTCACGTGATTTCAGTAAACGGGGCTTCATTACGTCAGAACAGTTTCGACATCTCTTTTATATGGATAGCTGCACATACAGGAATAGAAGGAAAGGAACTGGTGGATCAAATAGCAAAAAAACAACATCCAGACAGAGTTTAATGATCCGATGAGTAAATTAGAAACAAAAGGGCTAATTAAAAAAGCATTAAAAGATGTGGCAAAGTAAATGGGATGGTGATGATAAAGGACGACATTTATATAATATTCCAAAAATAGTTGGAAATGAGAGGAGAATTTTTGGGAATAGAAAGGAAGACCGCATAATATCTCATCTTAGAATTGGACACGCTGCACTAAATCAATCATTATATATAATAGGAAAACATGAATCTGGACTGTGTTAAATGTGATCTTACTGAAACGGTTGAACATTTTAGTAAAATGTAAAGGATATGAGAATGAAAGGTTACAACTTACAGAAGCACTTCATATAGGAATTAATCAGGTCTCACTACAGATATTGTTAAATAAAGATGCAACTATAGACATGTTTCACATACTATAAGTATCTCAAAGACACAGAATTAATGAAGAGGATTTAGAGAATTATTAGGTTTTTTTTTTTTTCTCCTTTTAGCTTTTTAGTTTTTCCTTTAACATCAATGCTCCACACGCCATCCTAATAGGTGGCGGTATATGCCATAAAAACGTCATAGAAACGTGTCAATTTCCGCGGCGAACCATTGAACCAGCGTCTATGGTTTTTACTTGATCTCGGATCAGATTCATAAATTTGTAGACATTATTTTTAACGAGACGAAATGATTAAGTAGTTAAATGGACCTTTTTCACATTTCCGGGATTCTCAGCAGCGGAAGTCGTCATAGTTGGGTTAACTTGAAGAGCAGTGAATGGGAGAGTGCCACAAATATATTTATTGCATTCCCATTTGCTCAAATAGCAAAAGAAAAACTCCACGATAGTGTTTTCATGACATTCAATAAATGGAAAAAAATGGAGAGAGACCGATAACGGCAGTCAGAAGTAGAGGTTGTCCAATGTATCAGTTTTGCCGATTAATCGGCACCGATAGTTGATTGCTGGAACTATCGGTTATCGACAAATCCATGCCGATAGTTTTCCGGGTTGCGTCCATTGCTGAAGCGGCTGAGAAGGGTCTGCTGCCATTACACAGTGCGAGAGCAGCCTCTAGTGGTTGAAATCACTGACAGCACGTGCTATTTGTTTAGACGCGTGATACTACATGCTGAACCGAGCCAGAAACTTCAGACACGGATTTAAATGCAGCCGACAGAAAATCCTGCTGCGCCACAGAGCGCCATTCACATAGTTTTCCTATAAATTACATTATATTGGTCCCGAATCGTTGTTAATGTAGATAATGAATTGTGCATTTTCAGCAAAACGTGTCTTTCTGTGGCTCTAATAAAGTCTGTATGCTTCATTTATAGAGCTATAATATAGGTCGCGCTTTCTCTTTCCGTTTGCTCCGGGGTTTTTTTTTTTTAAATGCCGAACTTCAAGAATGAACAATTTGGCATGGATGAGTTTGAAGTAAACTTGTGTCCATTTGGTGATTTTAAATAAACTGTTTTAGACCGCTGCTCGAGTTGATTGCGACGCGTCCGGAGTGTGTGTGATACCGGTGAGTTCTCCTAGACTCAGCACTGCGCTTTTATTTTGATTATAGATAATCATTAAGTGTTCAAGAATAGAAGCAGTTCAAGTCTGAGAGTATACATACAATATCCATTTGTATATAATTTTAATGCTATAGCCTGTGTGTATATATTTAAAGATGTGCATCTTTAAGCATGACCGTTGAAATGAAATGGTAACACTTTAAAATAAGAGTCCATTTGTAGCATTAAGATTAATGAAAGCTGTGCAAGTATTGTTCCTTGTTAGAGTGTTAATTTCAACTTACTATTATTATTTTTTTTTACTACTACTAGTATGGTTCAGTACTGTTTTTGTTAATAAAGCACTATTTTAGTTTTTGTTCAGTATCAATTTTAAAACTCGGTATCGGCCAGTGTGGTCCAACCTAGCTATCGGTATCGGCAAAATCCACTATCGGTCGACCTCTAGTCAGAAGAGAGAACTGTCAAATTTACCGGCCCTCCCATAGACACTGCATTCGTTTTTTATTTACTTTTTTTTTTTTTATTTGATGTAAAGGTATTATAATGCAAAGAATAGTGTTATAAATGTACATACAATTTTTACAAAATACAAATATGAAAAACTTTCGAGGAGCTGATTGGCTGCAAGTGTGTTTTGGGACTTGGTCCGACACTATGGTCAAAATCGTTTTTCAAATATTGCTTAATGCACCTTATATTTATAAAAAAAAAAAAATTACCTTTTAGTTTAAAGCTGCATTTGTTTTTTAGTTTTTTTCGAAATTTACAAAAAAAATGTATAGTGAGCGAGTACAACATGAATCCATTTTCCAAACCGTGTTTTTGGCTTGTCCTGAGTCACTACGGTACACCTATAATAAGTGTTTATACTCGGACTATTTTAGGCTGGTTCTGGTAGGAACCGCTGCGGAGTAGCCCAGCACCTGCGTGATTCGCCATAGACCTAAACAGAGAGAAGTAGCTCCGGCTACAGTGTTCTTCCGCAGGACGCACGCACGCAGTTCTAGAAGCGTGCAGAATTCTTTACCTGTCCAGCAGATAGCAAGCAACCTCCGCGTCGTTCTTCATGCCTTTCTCCACTTTCAGCGCTTTCCATCTGGAATAGGCCACGCCAATGTTTACTCTGTTTTTCTGTCTCAGTCTGTCTCTTTCTCTCTTCTTAACGTCGGACTTCTTTCGCTTCCTCGGCAGAGTTTGTAGTGTCTCTGCGGGTAATGCATAACAGTGATCCATGTCCTCCGAATCTTCTGAATAGAAGTCTTATCTGATCAGTGCTGTATCACTCACGGTCTCCTGAAACAACCCATCTGTTGTAAATGACACGATTTTGTGATGCATTATACATCGAGTAATTGTTAACATCTAATTTTAAAACTACAATGAATGCCAATGCATGCATACCTCTGTTTAGTTTGTAAATAAATGACAGGCACAGCTGTAACCGTAAGATATCGTCGTGCCTTTCCCTCATCTGCTCTGAAATCGTCTTGTGAAAAATGTTCAGTGCACAACCTCGTGTGCTTGAAGTGGAAATGCACACTTGTGCACCATTTAAAAAAAAATGAACCAGGATCCAAAGCAAAATGTGGAAAGAAACGCACGAAACTTGCATAGAGCATTCCTGTTCTTCTGCTGTAAACAACCAGTGCAGCACTTCCAGAATCATCTTTCTTGTGTAGTGGCAACTACAACATTTTAAGGTGCGTTTCCGCCACCTACTGTACTGGAGTGAGGACCAGAGCTTTGCATGTACCTTTAAATGCCATTTTTGACTGGAGTTTGAGGTCTCCCTCGAGGAAAAGGTTTTTGGCCGCTTGTTGCAGCGTCAGCCAATGAGCAAGACGCGTTTGATCATGTGATCTCATGGACTACCTTTATTTAGAATAAATAGGCTTTTGAAGTCAGTGTAAAGCAATATCAGAGGGGCGTGTCCGCCGGCCTTTTAAAAGTATATGAAATGTTAAGTTTGTGGTATAGACTAAGTGTTTTTGAAAAGGTTTAGATCGGACATGGATACAAGCTGACCCTAATGAAACTGATTAGCATATCTTCTGGGGTTGTCCTCACACACAACTATTTTGGATTGAATTCTCTAATGTTATTAATCGCTATGTGCTCCGGGGTACTCTTTGTTCTTTTAAGGGTGTACTGTTTGGCTTCTTCAATATGCAAAAAGATTGATTCATATTTTATTAACTTCTTACCAGTGTTGGGGAAAGTTACTTTTAAGAGTAATGCATTACAATATTGCGTTACTCCCATAAAAAAGTAACTAATTACATTACTTTTTATGGAAAGTAATGAGTTGCGTTACTTTTTAAATCTGGACAGGGCTTGCTTGTTTGTTTTTAAAATAAATTTAAAAAAGTTATATTTTTTGGCAAATATAAAAGCCTTTTCACACCAAAAGTGAAATGAATAAGCCTCAGGCTGAAGGCAAAGTAAATTTACGTCCGTACAGTAGAATGCAGAAGAAGACATTTCAACACACTTCAGCAATAAAAAAAGACAAATGTTTGTCTAGAGTAATTTGAGCTTATTAGTATGAACTGGATCATCGAAGGTCAGAAGCAAAGACATTGGTTAATAGAATGGGATGAAATACATAAAGGATATTTGTGTTTAACATTTAATTATTGCAGGTTTTTGCGTCACATTCTGAGTTGCATTATTTTTATTCATTTTGAGGAATACTGAATCTGTGGGGGGGGGTTTTTTGTGTGTGAGTGAGATGAATTAATGCATATTTATTTTAGAACTACAGTAACATCTTCTGATGTCTCTCAGCATGGGGACAGGAGAGCTGTCAGTCAATAAATTGAAAAAAAAAAAAATTTACTCCGATATTCTCTTGTAAATTAAAAAGTAATGCGTTACTTTACTAGTTACGTGAAAAAAAAAAAGTAATTTGATTACGTAACTCGCGTTGCTTGTAATGCGTTACCCCAACACTGATTATTACTACTTGCGAAATTTCATATTCACTCATCGAAATCCTTTCTTTTTAAAAAAAGAGGTTCAATTACAGTAGTCAACATTTGAAGTGGATCAAACAAGTTCATGCATTTTGGTTTTAGGACAACTTTGATGAAAGGTTTTGATCCCATTCAAATATTGACTAGTATATTTCATCCAAGAATTTAAGCTTTTAAAAGTTATCTTTTTTTAATCCATTTTGTTAAAGCTTTCGGGGTTTATATATATACTGTACATGTATAAACAGTGTTTTGCATGTAATGTCACCTCTTTGTATGCAATGTTGATGTTTTCTGTGCTTTTATTTTTGTTATCTTGGCATTAATAAAAAAATAATAATAATAATAAATAAAAAAACTTCAATTTTTTATTAATTGTACAGAATTACACAATCAATACAGTAACAATAACAATACTAAAATATGGAATGCTAGGGGGAGATATACAATTATAGGAATACATTAAAAAGTGTACATGCTTGCAAAATTCAGATAGCTTTTTGTTTCTTCGAGGGTAATACAGATTCAATATATTTCACCATTTTTAAATGCTATAACTTTTTTTCTTTTTTACCTGAAAATGTAAATTTTTGGATATGAAATGTATCCATAAAAATAAAATAAGTTTGTTTATCTTTGGAGTTTACAATAATGCCTAAAAGAACATCTTTCCACTGTAAAATAAAATCTCCATCAACATTTTCAACAATAAAGTCAAGTACATAATGCCAGAAAAGACACGTAAGGGTAGTGCCAAAATAAATGAACCGCTGTCTCCGGCTTCTGCTTGCAAAAGCTAACATCTATATCTCTTTTTTTTTTTAATTTAATTAAATCATGTTTAGCAGGGTATATTCTGTGGAGAAGCTTAAAGGATACTTTCACCTTATTTGTTAAGCGATATCGATTGGGCAGAAGCCAGACTTTTGTCCAGTCAACATCACTCACAAATTTACTCCAATATGCAATTACATTTGGTTTCGAAACAACATCCTTCTGGAAAAGGTCTATTGATCTATTATAATTATTACAGGAGATGAGAAACATATTTTACCTACAGGGGAGTGATTTGATTTGGTGAAGGGCATGGAAATTGCTGAGAATTCACTCCAATTCAATAATTATATATGAATATGACTATAAAATAATAATAATAATAATAATGAGTATGAATATTATTAAATAATGATAATATGAAATACTTAATTAAAAACTAAATAAGAAATATTACTATTGGAATACTTCAATATTACTTTCGAAACTTTCGAAATTATGGGAAAATGTCATCGAGTTGTGTTTTTTTTTTTTTTTTTTTTTTTTTTTTTTTTTTTTTTTTTGTTGCTGTTTAAACATGCTTATTTTAGAAGAAATCGCAAAAAAAAGTTTACACCCCAGGTCTGTCCCTAAGCGTGGCGGGACACAATGAAACGTGATTGGTTGCTTTTACCTGTCAATCATATGGCATTTTGGGTGGTCTTTGGCCATTTAAAGCGGTCAAGGTTTCCAATCCCAGACCTTTTGCTGTCTGTCAGGAAATATGCATTTACGTGACGCAGGCATAGCTATCTTACAAACCACTGATTCTAATGCGCTCTAGTTAATATAGTGTTAGGGGAGGGGCCATGCTCAGTGGCTCCAGTGCGTCATCGAGATTTCAGACCCGCCCTAAAAATCCTGAACACACAAAAAACTGTGTTGGCCGTTTAACTCCACAGTTCAGTACTACATAGTTCACAGTCGGTGTAGCGTGTTTCAGCAATACATTTCTAACATTTATAATGTGTTTAGAATACTCTGAACTGCCTTTACATGGATTCATGTAGAAATGCTGATCAAACTCTGGTAGTAAGGGCATATTTGAATATATGTCTTGTCTAATTTGGGACAAAACCTGCTAAAATTGTGCATATTTATTTTGTACTGCTGATAACTTGAGAATTGATATCACATCTTGGAATTTCGGTGTATATAAACGGGACTAAATCCCATTGGATTAACTTTCAACAAATGAACACTGAAAACTGTTCAGCTTCATATATAAAATACAAAACTCACTTTTCATACGGATGACTCTTAATGCACATTTTATATACATTTTATATCAAATTTATAGAGTATAGAATAAAATATTTAGACTTTATTTTTGTATATATTTATTTTTATTTTTTTTGGCCTTTTCAGAGCATGGTAAACATCTGATGGTCTTGCATGGGACTCCAGAATTTGTGGCCCCAGAGGTTGTTAATTATGAGCCTGTAGATCTGGCCACCGACATGTGGAGCATCGGTGTCATCTGCTACATACTGTAAGGGCTCGGAGTGAAGCAGGTTATAGATGCACTTCGATTTCTATCGACTAATATGTGCGTTTTTGCTGGATGTAATTTCTTTTTCACTGTTTCCCAGGCTGAGTGGTGTGTCTCCATTCCAAGGAAACAGCGATGCCGAAACCTTAGCTCTGGTTACTGCAGCGCAATGGGAGTTCGATCCTGAGAGTTTTGGTGATATCACCGATGAGGCCAAAGATTTCATCAGCGGCCTGCTGAGGAAGGATAAGAGGTGAACGAAGGAATGCGACTCGAAATTAGCATGGTCACATCATGCATGTTTTACTATATTCTGCTAATGATTTGTAACAATGGTATTTTAGTTTAATTCACATAATACCATTATAGTTTTTATTAGTGCTGGGCAACGACTAATTGCATCTAAGATAACATTTTTGTTTATTGTGTGTGTGTGTGTGTGTGTGTGTGTATATATATATATATATATATTAGACACACACACAGAGTATATATTTTGAAAATATTTACGTGTATATTTGTTCATATAATTTCTATATATATATATATATATATTTTTTTTTTTATATATATATATAAACATAACATCATTCTTAGATATATACACAGTCATGTGTGTATTTATATATACATAACAAATATACACAGCACACACCCATTGTTCACAAAAACTTTGTTTTGGATGCGATTATTTGTGATCAATCGTTGCCCAGAACTAATGTATATTAATATTTTCTTTTGTTTTCATTTTTATGTCTGTAGTTTTTATTTAAATTTCCGTTTCAGCTGAAATGTAATTTAATATCAACTAGCTTTTTTTTTATTTTATGGTTTAGTTAGCTGTAATAACTTTGATTTATGTTCATTGGAGTCTTGTTTTTAATTAACTGACCATTTTCAGTCCACAGTCATGCAAAATGCAAGTAGACTGCAAGTTATTTAAGCATCATATTCTATTCTATTCTATGTGTAGAATGTTTTATTTCATTTTTATTCTCCTAGAACAAGATTATCCTGTGAGAAAGCATTAGCTCATCCCTGGATAGCCTTATTTGACGACTCAAACTCCAGATCAACCAAATCCCTAAATAAAGAGAAGATGAGAAGGTTCCTGGCCCGACAGAAATGGAAGGTATGGAAATTAGGAGGCTATTCGCCTTCAGCCGATTTAGTATAAAGATGCCTGATGGTTTTCACTGATGGAAGTTCCTTAAGGCTGTCATCAGGATTGCTTTATTTTTTTTTTCCTAGAACAAGATTATCCTGTGAGAAAGCATTAGCTCATCCCTGGATAGCCTTATTTGACGACTCAAACTCCAGATCAACCAAATCCCTAAATAAAGAGAAGATGAGAAGGTTCCTGGCCCGACAGAAATGGAAGGTATGGAAATTAGGAGGCTATTCGCCTTCAGCCGATTTAGTATAAAGATACCTGATGGTTTTCACTGATGGAAGTTCCTTAAGGCTGTCATCAGGATTGCTTTATTTTTTTTTGTACCTCTTTGGTAAACTGCAAATCGTGTACATATCGGTTCTGTCTTGCAGAAAGCTGGTAAAGCCCTGCTCGCACTAACAAGGATGGCTCGCTGGAGCAAATCTGATGGACAGCCGTCTCCCATTTCTGTAGATGGTAAGATGCATGAGTACCTGTTTGTCCAACAAATGAAGTGTTCAAAGCCATTATACATTACTTTTGCAATTATGTTTGGCTTGGCACAAAAGTGACTTTCCCCTGCAACTACCTGAGGATGATTAATTTGTCCTCTCATGGTGTCTCTGTAACTGTATTTTCAGCGAATGCTCTGGGGAAAGAGGCCGAGCAAGCTGTGGCATCTCTGGAAAATCAGTTGTGGAGTGAACCACGTTTCCATCAAGCCCTGCATGACCTCACTGAGGGCTGCGGAGCCACTGTGCACCTGGCCTGTACAATACAAGGTACCTCTGTCAGTCTGATGGGCGAGTCTGGGTTTGGCGGATGCCGGGAATGAAACTACTGCATCCAACCATGAGCATGTTTTCAAGAAGTTCGTGATTGGACCATAGTTCACTGAAATTACTAATGTTTTCAGGATATCCGGACCCTGAAGTGCTTTGGCTGTTTGATGAAGTGCCGCTGGAGAAAAACGGACGAGTTCAGATGAATTCTGATCAGAATGGCACTTGCACACTCACCCTTGCTCAAGTGCAACCAGGGGATTCTGGGATCTACAAATGCTGTGCATCCAACAGTCTGGGACAGGCGCTGTGCTCTGCCAAACTCACCGTGCAACTCTAGAACACCAACTCTACAATGTTAAGCTTGAAGAAAACAGGATTTTTAAAGCGAACTTCAGGAACCATGTGCAAAAATTATGGTGAAACAAAAGTACTTTCAAACTATCCACATGTTTGACGTCACTAGAAGCAGTTGTAATTCACTATTTCTGAATTGTTCTGTTGTTGGTTTTTAAATCACAATTTACTCCAGGCACGTTATAGTTTCAAGTTCAATTTCGATCACTTTTCCCTGGTGTTAAGTTTTAGCCATCATTTACTAATTGAGACGGAGCATTGTGTTTTTCTACTGAACCTGGGCATGGTTTAATTTAGAAAACAGGATTTTTTTTTTTTAAGCGAACTTTAGGAACCATGTGCAAAAATGATGGTGAAACAACAAAAGTACTTTCAAACTATCCACATGTTTGACGTCACTAGAAGCAGTTGTAATTCACTATTTCTGAATTGTTCTGTTGTTGGTTTTTAAATCACAATTTACTCCAGGCACGTTATAGTTTCAAGTTCAATTTCTATCACTTTTCCCTGGTGTTAAGTTTTAGCCATCATTTACTAATTGAGACGGAGCATTGTGTTTTTCTACTGAACCTGGGCATGGTTTGATTCTGCTTCATTTAAGACAAAGTAGTTTCTAAGAGTTTAATTTGTTGTACATGCATGTGTGTGTATAAAGATTACATTTATTAAAGTTTTATTTGAATTTTTAAAAAGTTTTTATTTTTAATTGGTAACCTAAAACAGTTGATCACAATGACATCAAGTTATTTTGTGAATTTGCATTAGATCACTGACCAGTTGGTCTATTATGGGTTAAACTGACATTCATTTTAAACTTTCGTCTTCAGGAGGCACAATATAGATTATGCTTATTCTGAAAGAGAGATGGTTATTAATCTACACTAAGATCAAAGCCTTTTACACTGAAAACTGTGTTTGCAAAAATACATAAATGGCAGTGTGACAACCAAGTATGACATTTCTGACAATGGGCACAAAAAAAAAAAGGTAACCCGCATATTGCAGGTCTATTAAAAGTGGTCAAGGTGTTTTCCGTCCCAAACCTCTTACACCACATTAGAAGAGCCACGAACATAAGAACTGATACTGGCTCATGTGTTTATGAAGGTTACAAATGGTAAATGATTTCTTGTTTGTTTCTGAAATAATCAACTAAGGAAACATCAGTAAACTATTTCACTAAATTCTGAAAACGCTGAAATCCGGTTGTATTCATATCGAAGTCCGTCTCAGGGTGAAGGTCTGATTTCTTCTAGTCTCTTCTGAATCCTCTGCTGTAATAGAGTCCAGGTTTTCAACACCTGAGGAAACGCATGCATCAATGATTAGCCACATGTTTTGAGGTTAATAAAGCACATTCCTGATCTGGTGTGTGTGTACCTGTCTCTGAGTAACGTCAGGTTCCCACAGTGTGCACAGCACTACGTTAGCATGTTCTATCAGCTTTGCATTCAGCCACTGGCTCTTCAGTCTCCTCAAGGCATCTTCCTCCTTCACACCATCACGCTGGACTATACGCTTCACTGCCTGAGACCAAAAGAGAGGTAACAGCTAGAATATCCTAATATTGTCTTAGTCTTTGACTACTAGTGAAATTTTTCATTTAAATATATTAACAGGGATTAAAGTTTTCTGGCGCTACGACGGATTTCCGTCAATAAACTTGACTAATTCCTGAATGATTCAGCTGTTCGAACTAATCAATTGAATGAACGATTCAGTGATAAAATCAGTGACTTGCTGCAACCTGCTGGTGGATTTAGGTTCATTTCTATCATATAATTTCTGTTATTTAAATATTTAATATTTCTGTATTAAAAATGTTATATTTAAAACATTAATCTCCACATGAATTTAATTGCCCCCTCTGAGCCTCATTAACCGTCTGAAATGTACCTACAAGCCACTTTTGTGTTCTTCTGTGCCACCTCTGTAGTATAAATTTATTTATTAGTACTAATTTCATATGATTGGTAACCTGTTTGTCTTATTCTACTTCTTATAATATTGTTTTAAATAGAAATGTTAAAAAGCTTATAAACATACATTTTTGAATTTAACAGATGAAAATGATGCCATTATAAAGGTAAAAAGAAAATACTCCTGTAAGTCACTTTAAGGAGTCAAATGTCACCTCGTATTAGGAAGGCTAATTTTTTATCAGAATTTTTGATTATGGATCAGGAAGGTGCTCCTAAATTTTTTAATTAGGAGGACAAGTGCTCCTCACTGAAATGTTACGCTAAAAATTTAACTAAATCTGCCAGCAGGTGGCGGCAAGTCACTGATTTTATCACGGAATCATTCATTCAATTGATTCGTTCGAACGGCTGAATCATTCAGGAATGCAGCAAGTGACTGTCTTTATGAACTGACGGAAGAACACTTTAATCCCTGTATTAATAGAAATTAAGATATTAATACTTATTCCGTAAGGACGCCTTCAATTTCTCAAAAGTGACAGTAATGGCATCTATTAATGTTTCAAATAGTAATGATGCTGAAAATTCAGCTTTGATCACAGGAATAAATTATATTTTAATATATATTCATATAGGAAACAGTTATATTAAATCGTACTAATATTTCACAATATTACTGTTTTTATTGTATTTTTGATCAAACAAACACAGCCTTGGTGAGAAGAGACTTCTTTAAAACATTAAAAAATCATGATGAATGGTCGCACTTTATATTAATAAATATATCATCTCTGAAAGGAACGGCAATAGAGAAAGCTGAGCTAAATCATGCATCACATGATCAACATGCACATGACTAAATGGCCTTGATTAAATTACACAGCAGTCACAATGCCATGTCTCTTTAAATTAATGTCTGGAAGACACAGAATAAGTTCTGTCAGGCTTTTTGTTTAACAAAAGTTTTTTGTACATGAGACTTCATCTATGTAACAATTCATCCTGAATAAAAACACACTATTAACCAAGTCCTCTTTCCAATAACACATAGTTAAATGCTCCAGTAATGTTTTAAAAAAATGCATAAATATAACAGTTTTGGACTAATGCATGATGTATTGATCAATAGATGAAGTGCATTATGTGATGCTAGTGAATATGAACAAGTGAGCAGGATTTTCGTACAGATGGAGCTTTGAGCAGCGTGCCCAGCAATCTTGTTCTCAGGCTGGAGGAACTGATCTTCTCCTCCTCGATGTCAGCATGATGGGCGTCTTTCAACAGCTGGATCTCGTACAGAACCAGTTCAGCCAATCTCTGCACAGAATAGAACAGCATTTCTACAATTTTTGTAACATTATAAATGTATTTACAGTCACTTTTGATCAATTTAATGCATACATGCTAAATAAAAGTCTTAATTTCTTTAAAAAAATACATTTTGAGCTACTGTATATCAAGGCTGTGGTTCTCTGGTCTAACGATACAGTGCCTTTTATAGGCACTGGATAACAATCAATAACGTTCTCACATTTTCCACACGCTTCCTGTTGACAGCTTCACCCCCTTTCCTCGTCTCCTCGCTGACCACAATGCACTGCAGCTCAGGGTCGCTTACGGAGGGGCCGAAGGGGTCGGAGAGAGGAACGATTTCGTACTCGAGCGATGGTTTTACATCGTTCAGAAAGTCCTGGAGCTTCTGCACACGCTGATCGTACGGCTCTATCAACTCCTTCAAGACCTTATCTATACAAAAAGCAGGACACATTTAAGAATGCACTACAAAATTAGACATTTTTCCTGGGCCAAACTGTATTGTCACATTTTCAAGTGGTTTATCACTTGATAACAATGGTGGCAAAACATCTCAAACTTTACTAGATATTCATCCAGATACCAAATAACCAAGTAGACAAACTCATAAAGCCTTTTTAGAGCTGCTTTGAACAGATTTGGTGAAATGTAGCATTCCATCACTTGCTCACCAGTGGATGCTCTGCAGTGAATGGGTGCCATCAGAATGAGAGTCCAAAAAGCTGATAAAAACATCACAATAATCCACACCACTTAGTCCAGTCCATCAATTAATGTCTTGTAAAGCGAAAAGCTTCATGTTTGTAAGAAACAAATCTATCATTAAGACGTTTTTAACTTCAAACTCTTGCTTCCAGCTAAAATACGAGTTCATAATCCATAATACTGCTTTCTCCAGTGAAAGCAAAATGTCTTAATGATGGATTGTTTCTTACAAACATGCATCTTTCTGTTTCTCAAGATGTTAATTGATGGACTGGAGTGGTGTGGATTATTGTTTTTATCAGCTGTTTGGACTCTTATTCTGACGGCACCCATTCACTGCAAAGCATCCATTGGTGAGCAAGTAACGTAAAGACTTGTTCACACCGGGACGAATATCGCCAACGTTTAACGCCTCGTGACTAAACAAAGGGCGCCAATGTGAGTGTGCACACCAACGCACAAAACGCGAGGCGTAAAAGCGTATTTTTTTAAAAAACGCCTCGGGCTTGTTTTTTTGGTTTGACGCGCTTCAAAAACTGGCCGACCAATGAGATTGGCGCTTTTGTTCACGTGCCTGGAGCTGCTGGAGTTACAGTAAAACACGACTTGGTGGCCATCAAGCACAAACCGGTCTTGACGAGCACACATTGATACCTAACGACGAAGAGGAAGTAAGTAGACCAAGAAGATGCATTTAGGCAAGATGCTGCTGGTCTCATTGGTGTCTGAACACAAAGGGCTTTATGACAAACGCGACAGCGACTACAAAAATCTCAATAAGAGGGAGTTGTTATGGAGAGGAATTGCAGATCAAATAGGATTCGATGTGTATTTGTTTTTTATTAAGCGCCATCTAATGTCAGGGAGTGAATTTGCACGTTCACTCGGCTCATCGCCTGCGAAAATGGCTTGGGTATGAACACAAAAGACGCGTCGAAAAACGTTGGCGATAAGAGCGCGATAATCGTCCCAGTGTGTACGAGGCTTAATGCTACATTTCTCCAAATCTGTTTCAATGAAGAAATACAATCATCTACATCTTGGATGGCCAAATTTTAGTTTTTGGGCAAACTATTTCTTTAAAGATTTCTAGAGGGTCTCCACTTACTTTTTAGTAGTTCCTGGTCACACACACCAATGACAAAGCGTCTGTTGGCCATCAGAGACTAAACAAAGGGCGCCAATGTGAGTGTGCACACCAACGCACAAAACGCGAGGCGTAAAAGCGTATTTTTTTAAAAAACGCCTCGGGCTTGTTTTTTTGGTTTGACGCGCTTCAAAAACTGGCCGACCAATGAGATTGGCGCTTTTGTTCACGTGCCTGGAGCTGCTGGAGTTACAGTAAAACACGACTTGGTGGCCATCAAGCACAAACCGGTCTTGACGAGCACACATTGATACCTAACGACGAAGAGGAAGTAAGTAGACCAAGAAGATGCATTTAGGCAAGATGCTGCTGGTCTCATTGGTGTCTGAACACAAAGGGCTTTATGACAAACGCGACAGCGACTACAAAAATCTCAATAAGAGGGAGTTGTTATGGAGAGGAATTGCAGATCAAATAGGATTCGATGTGTATTTGTTTTTTATTAAGCGCCATCTAATGTCAGGGAGTGAATTTGCACGTTCACTCGGCTCATCGCCTGCGAAAATGGCTTGGGTATGAACACAAAAGACGCGTCGAAAAACGTTGGCGATAAGAGCGCGATAATCGTCCCAGTGTGTACGAGGCTTAATGCTACATTTCTCCAAATCTGTTTCAATGAAGAAATACAATCATCTACATCTTGGATGGCCAAATTTTAGTTTTTGGGCAAACTATTTCTTTAAAGATTTCTAGAGGGTCTCCACTTACTTTTTAGTAGTTCCTGGTCACACACACCAATGACAAAGCGTCTGTTGGCCATCAGACAGGAAATATTCAGCAGGGTCTTGTGGGCGCCATGCAGACGGTCAAAAGTGCCGCCAACCACCACATCACTGAACGTCTCTAAAGGTTTTAATTGCGCAGCTCTTCCTCTTCTATCATCATCTTCCTCAACCTCTTTTAGTCGCGGGTACAAAAGCACAGATGAGAGACACGGCTTGCAGATGTAGCAGTGACCCGCGTACTTCTGCAAGCACTGGGTGACCAGCGAGGACTGGCCTGAATCCTGGATGGGGAAGTCTGTGAGCACTACTTCTGGCGAGTGGGACAGCGTCTGTGGGGTGGGAAAAGGGCCGTTGTTTCCGCTCAACGCCGCAGATTGGGCGCGGACATTACTGAGCAGCACTCTGACGTCAAGGTGCGCACAAATGTCAGCGGCGTTGCTGTAAAGGCAGGAGATGAGAGTACAGAGATCCACCACGGGCGGGATGTAGGCGGGCCGCACCTGCCCACCTGTGCCCAGGTTGAGGCCGGGGTGGAGATGGACGTAAAGTGTGCGCTCGACCACCTGGGCGGCAGACGTGAGGACAGGCGCGATGCGGAGAGGGAGGACGTGTAACGGAGACGTAAGGACCAGGATACCGGTGCTGAACATGGACATGATGGACAGCTGATGGTGACTTTATGATCTGAGGTGCTGAAAGATATAATACAGATTAGTGCTGTCAAATGGTTAATCGCGATTAATCACATCCAAAATAAAAGTTTTGGTTTACACAATATATGTGTGTACTGTGTATATTTATCATGCATATATAACACACACACATACAGTATATATGTTGAAAATACATTTGTGACCCTGGACCACAAAACCAGTAATAAAGGTCAATTTTTATTTTTATACATCATCTGAAAGCTGAATAAATAATCTTTCCATTGATGTATGGTTTGTTATGATATGGCAATATTTGGCCGAGATACAACTATTTGAAAATCTGGAATCTGAGGGTGCAAAAAAATCGAAATATTGAAAAAAATCACTTTTAAATTTGTCCAAATGAAGTTCTTAGCAACGCATATTACTAATCAAAAATTTAGTTTTAATATATTTACAGTAGGACATTTACAAAATATCTTCATGGAACATGATCTTTACTTAATATCCTAATGATTTTTGGCATAAAAGAAAAATCAATCATTTTGACCCATACAATGTATTGTTGGTTATTGCTACAAATATACCCCAGCGACATAAGACTGTTTTTGTGCTCCACGGTCACACATATACATATATATATTGAATATATAAACATAACATTTTCCTTAAATATATACATACATGTGTGTGTATTAATATATACAAAATAAATATACACACTACACACACATAATATATTACGTGAACAAAAACTTTTATCTTGAATGCGATTAATCGTTTGACAGCAAATCTAAAAATAACACATTATTTATGCAGTGCCATAAAGAGATACTTATGCAATTGCAGAAACCTGTGAAAATGTATAACTTGAATTCACCGAATGCGCATACAAAATCTGCCAAATGAATAAATATGCAATTATGTATTTTGGACTGTTATTTACATATGCACATATTGCAACTTTAAATTGCTTTAAGGACTTGTCATTTGTAAGTACTCGCATGCATATTTTCTACTTTATCCTGTTATTTTGAGAATTGAGCTAAAAGCTAAAAGACAAATAGAATTCTGATCTTCAAAGAGAATTGAAATAAGAACAGAATAGAAATAGCAGTGATTTCTGAAATTGCACTTTGATTAAATTACTCTAAAATGACCCTAAAATTACCCTAATAATTAAAACAAAAAGAATCTATATAAAATACAGCTATTATATGTATCATGCAAGTTTTGATTAAATTAATTCAATGAAATATTAGAAAAATTACCATAATAATTAGAATCATTTAGACTTTGATTAATACAATAAAACCTGTCAAAATTACTCCAATAATTCAAATAAAAAAAGAACCTTTAAAAATACAGCTCTTATACGTATCCTGCAAATTTTGTTTAAATGAATTCAATGAAATTCCCATAATTACCATATTTAGAATAATGCAAAGTTAAATGAATTCAATAAAACATGACTAAAATTACCATAATAAATAGAGTAGAAAAGAATAGAATAGACATATCGCTCTCAATCGTGGAACTTTTGATTTACAATTAAAACATTTCAAAAATGACTCTTAAATATTTAGTATTAAACCGAAAATAATAGACGGGGGTGTAAACTTTTTAAATTGGATGATCAGGGTAAATTGTATTTATTTTGTCTTCTGGGAAACATGTAAGTATTTATGTAGCTTCTGAAGTCCAGTACTAAATGAAAAAATATGAGCGTTAAACAAAATGGGAAGAATTTCAAAAGTTTATAATGTTTCTCATGTTACATAGAATTTCAGCATTAAAAGGTTGCAAAAGGAAATGTGAAGATGACATGCGTCACACAATATTATTCTTATTTCCTTCAAATTATTGACAAATGCAAGGTGTCTTCACTGAATGGCAATTTATGAAGTAGGCTATTGCGTTCCATAATATTAAGCTTGTGAGCGTAAGGCACAAGTTAACACAAGCCCAACCCATTGTAATATAACATTCCTCTTTGGAACGAGTTCGAATCCCAAAACGACCAGGTTTTTAAGACCTTATTATTATTGTTAAACGTACTTCTGCCGTTACAGGTTATGAAATCACTTATTTGTACTTTTACAAACGATACCAACATCGCGTAGTGAGAACGTTTAATTGTAATGGACATATGTTGTACATGTTTGCAGAAATAACGAATCTGCGGCGGATTGTTCACAGCTGAAATTAGTCACTAGATAACACGGAAACCAGTTAAACCCGAACAACACACTGTAACACCAGACTACTTCAGCAAAACCTACCTGAGGATATTCAGGGTGTTGAGAAATGCTAAATGTGGAATAATATTGCAGAAGACAACTGTATGGTATCAGGCTTCGTCATAATGACTATATAAAAGACTAATGTTTTGCTCAGCAGCGCGAACTCGAGTCCAGTTGACCTAGACGGCCATGTGCTGGAATACTGACTGATGATTGGCTGATAGCGGGAGTTCCTGCTTTAATGAATCATGGGAAGTGTAGTTTATAGCTGCTTTTTAAAAATTCCTCCGTCCCTATGAACTCGTGTTATGTCGCCAAACGCGAACATTTCTCCTCTTATCATTGTAAATTATTTATGTTATTTAATAATTGAGCATCTTTGTGTTGAAGAGCATATATTTGTTTACACATTTTACATTTGTGCCTCATGTATTGTGCCTACAAAAAAAAAACATAAGGCTACATAACTGCATAATATTGTATAGTAAGTTTTTCTGTACCAGATATAATGAAATTTATGCTTTTATCAGCATAAAAATTGTATTCCTGAAATAAACCCACTTTTCAGATTAAGTTCTAATTGGGATAATTATTTAGAAATTTGACTGAATACTAAACAAGTATGAAAAGTACAGCTTTTATCTGACAAAAATACAAAAACTACTTTTCAATTTTAGCAACTTTTGTTTTACAAGGTCTTAGTGACTATCATCTTGTCTGTGCTGGTTAACTAAAATAACTAACAAGAAACTGTAGACTGAAAATCTGACTAAAGAAAGTCCATAAGCTCCAAAAACAGTTAAACTACTCAACCTTAGCACAGTAATAAACTTTCAATGATTCACAGGATCATTTCAAAGATATTTTTGCATTCAGTTTGTGAATGAAAAAACACAAAAAACAATGTTCTGCAACTTCTGAAGCAGTGTTTTGACTGGCAGGTCTAGACTGGGACAATGTTACAACAATGTCTTTGTGCTGCATCTATAGATATTTTTACCCCATTTCATACAATTTAGGGGTGGAAAAATTGATTATGTATATACAGTATATCTGACATTGATACATAAAAACCTGGAACATCAGCAGAAACATAAAAAAAATGCAGATAGAACTTGGCAAACTCATTTCAAGACCATTAAAGGTGGGGTAAGCGATTTTTCAAAAACGCTTTAGAAAACTGATTCGGGGCCGATTAGCAAAACAAACTTGTAGCCAATCAGCAGTAAGGGGCATGTCTACTCATGATGTGGAGGAGAGAGAGTTCAGTGCACATGACGGACATTAGCGAGCCGAGCAACAGAAAGATAGAGATGGCGGATAAAAAACAAAAGAGGAAAACGTCTGCGGAACAAAAGAAGGCTTAAGGCAAGAAGTAGGACCAGTGTAAATATCGGATCAGCTTTCCAGCACTGGTGAGAACTCAAGGAGCGGAAGGCCTGCGATCGATCGCCGAGGTTGCTTTGTTTCTTCGCGATAGGTGAGTAACACCGTGTTTGCGCCGCAACAGCTAAAGTCTGTCTAGTACACTGGACGCAACAAAGTGACTGTTGAAAATCATTCGAAATTTGTGTCAATACGTCATGAATAGAATGCAGCAGCAGTTTTCTTTCGGGGATTTGTCGTGTCGTGCCGCGCCGCATCCAGTGTAGACCATAGATATGTATATACTGTATATCTATGGTGTAGACAGCATCACTGATTATAATGAGTTCTATAGTATTTTGTTGCGCTGCGCCACTCGCGTCCGGTGTAGACACGGTGTAACTTTGGTTTTGCTTTGTTTCACAGAACTAATCGTTGCCTGGTTTGCGTACGTATGTGTGGGACGGAGCTATCAAAATAGGGGCGAGACCCTTTTGGGGTAGGGGTGTGTTTGTTTTGGTGATTTCAAATGTTAACATTGGCTACCAGAAATCGCTTACCCCACCTTTAATAACAATACTTAAGGCAAGATTTTCCACAAGTGTTTTCCTGCCATTGCTAATGCCTGCTATCGCACCCCTTACTGAGAATGCAAAATGTCCTTATATTTATTGAGCTTGCTAGATCCCATACTTGCATTTATTTACTTGAACAATTTGTTTCAGGCTTCAATACTTAAAACACTTTGCTTTTCACAAAAATACATTCGGATGCAGTAAACCTCAGTATCTGACATATAAACCATTTAGAAGTTTCTACAAGTAGTCTCTCTTGATAGTTTGGCCATTATTTTAAAAGAAAAGTGAGAAGATACATAAAATGCAAGCTGTTTTTTGACCATTGTCGGCCACCGTATTAAACAACTTATGGTAGATGGATGAAACAAGTTCCCTTCATTTTAGCCTTTTCAGAGCATATGGGTAGTATTTGAGGAAGATCCGATGTGCAATCTCATATGTGTCCCCTAGTGGTTTGGAGGGATATTTCCTCTGGTTGTAGACGAACCCTTTCTCAACCTGAAACACGGCCTGGTTGAAGACGTCCTGTTTGAAGGGTCTTCCTCTGTCCAGACACTCCACTAGTGTATTAACAAACAAGCCCCAGCGCTGTAAATAATAGTCTTCCACTAGACCGCCCCACTCCTTGCTGGCGTAGTCCAAGATTTCCCCATCGGGTCCCCAAAGGGTGATCTGATTTCGTGCGTTGATATCATACAGCTGTGCCTCGTGCTCATCTACACCCTGAGACTGAGCCTGCTCAAGCCAGACTCCCAAAAGGAAGTGTTCGTTGCTGGAAAGGAGGTGGTCCAGTTCAGGTAAGAGATCGTAGACAAGCACGCCACCAGCGGTTAGGAGGTCGGGAAGCTTTTGAGTCTGAGAATCATACAAATAAATACAAATTTCAAAGCTGTAATTTTGTAAACAATAAAGGTGCAGTCACATTTACCGTTGTTTGATGAATTTTAATGGGCGAAATCCAATCATTGCAATAGGAATCAATGAATTTGGGAATTTTGCATGAGGGAAAAAGATTTCCCCAAGCATATTTTTCGCAATGGGTTCAAGTTGGTGTGTTTGGTATGTAATGGACATTTATTTGCCCATAAAATTTCACAAAAATGTCACTAATGCGGGGGCTTTCACCTAAAAATTTGGTAATTCTGTGTACCGCAGTACCAAATCTAAGACTAGCTGTAGGAACTGGTCTGAGTTTGGTTGCAATGGGACTGTGGTGTGATTGGCATGAATATGAAAGCTACTTGAACTTGGATACAAACAACTGTGAGTATGTAGTGTAATCGTGCATTTAAAGCTGCAATTAAATGGCTCGCAATTAAAAGAGTCTTCATGTGACGCACATAGACACAAGCGTCGATCAATAGAACCAAATTAAAGGAGTAGTTCACTTCAAGAACAAAATTGATGAATTTTAATGGGCGAAATCCAATCATTGCAATAGGAATCAATGAATTTGGGAATTTTGCATGAGGGCAAAAGATTTCCCCAAGCATATTTTTCGCAATGGGTTCAAGTTGGTGTGTTTGGTATGTAATGGACATTTATTTGCCCATAAAATTTCACAAAAATGTCACTAATGCGGGGGCTTTCACCTAAAAATTGGGTAATTCTGTGTACCGCAGTACCAAATCTAAGACTAGCTGTAGGAACTGGTCTGAGTTTGGTTGCAATGGGACTGTGGTGTGATTGGCATGAATATGAAAGCTGCTTGAACTTGGATACAAACAACTGTGAGTATGTAGTGTAATCGTGCATTTAAAGCTGCAATTAAATGGCTCGCAATTAAAAGAGTCTTCATGTGACGCACATAGACACAAGCGTCGATCAATAGAACCAAATTAAAGGAGTAGTTCACTTCAAGAACAAACATGTACAGATAATGTAATCACCCCCTTGTCATCCAAGATGTTCATGTCTTTCTTTCTTCAGTCGTAAAGAAATTATGTTTTTTGTGCAAAACATTTTAGGATTTCTCTCCATATAATGGACTTCTATGGTGCCCCCGAGTTTGAACTTCCAAAATGCAGTTTAAATGCAGCTTCAAACGGCTCTAAACGATCCCAGCCGAGGAAGAAGGGTCTTATCTAGCGAAATGATTGGTTATTTAAAAAAATTACAATTTATATACTTTTTAACGTCAAACGCTCGTCTTGTTTTTTTTAAACTGTTTTTTTTCCGGTTCAAGACAGTTAGGTATGTCGAAAAACTCCCATATAATTTTCTCCTCCAACTTCAAAATCGTCCTACATTGCTGCAGAAGTACCGACCCAGTGTACCAAAAAATGGTAAAACAGCGATTTACATTGCATGCGATTTGTCGTGCAGCCCTACATGATATGTATCGTTACCATGCAATAAAATTAGGCTACTCATATTGTGATATTGTGAAGATTTTGGTCTTATCACCCACCCCTACCCTGAATGCAATGCAAGTTGCTTTGGATAAAACCATCTGCCAAAAGCATACAAATGTAAAACAAAAATAAAATAAAAAAAATACTAGGACTGGTTCACTAGTTCATCAAACATAACAGTTAAGTTTGGGTTTACCTGGAAAGCATTCCGTATTTCCTTGTAGAACTCAGTTGTAAGAAGCTGAAGTGCTTGACGCGTCACGTCCACAAGATCATACCGGAAGGTTTCCAGAGTCGCTAACCCTGGCGCGGCTTCGAACAGAAGCTTCCACGCCTTGTAGAAGTCAGCCGGTTCGTACCAAATGTCCGTTTGCATGTGCAGGGATGGCCGATGTACCAACGGACTCCGGTTGTGGTTCTTGTATAGCGGAAGAGTACAGTTGTACACACTATGAAACAAGAGCTGCCAGGCCACCGTCAGGTTCTCATCCATACTACCATAGCGTCGCAAGGCGTACAGCGACACCCACTTGGAAAGGTTGACGGGTTCTTTGCGCCAGGCCAGTTCGCTCATAAGTTCGTAAATGACTGGATTCTGTTCGATGCCTTCGGGGGTCAAACCCAATCCCACTAGGGTTGAATTCGGAAAGCGGATGGCATCGAAGGGGCCGGAATTTATGCTCTCCACCGTTCCAAACAGACCACTGTTCCCTCCAAAGTTGTGCAGCATGCACCAGATAAACGGCTGGCCGTAGAAGGAGTTTGTGGAAGAGTAGACAGGCATGGATTCAGCAAAGAGATCCAGGACAATCATGCGCCCCAGGGGGACACCGTGTAACAGGGCCTTGACCTGGTCTGGTTTCCAGAATGAAGGGTCACTGATAAATAACCAGCCTTGCATCAGCCAAATTGCTT